GAAATGAATCAGAGGGATTAATAGGGATTAATGGGACATTTAAACTCATGTGGTCTAGTTGTTTTCAAAGCTTCCTCTCCTTCCTCCCATTTTCCCATCTTTCCCTCTCTCTCTCTCTCTCTCTCTCTTTCTCTCTCGTAGAATTATTGGTAAAAATATATTACTAAAGCTTAAAAAAACAAAAAAACACAGTGAACTATTCCACCTGAAGAAAGATTCCCTGTCTTATGTGCCCTGTGAGGCCCCAGGAGCTGCCAAGCATAATTTGAAACCCACTTCTCCGTGGGGACCAAGCCTTGCTTGAACTTATCTGGAGATGAGGCGCTTACTATTCTGAAGGCTGCTCATCCCACTGTGGAATGTGCAGGAAGTATCTCCTCTGTGTGGACCAGCTGGTGCTCATTCTGCCTCTAGGGAGTAGAGAAAAAGCCTGCTCCCTCGCTTTACATTTCTTAAAATAAAATAAAACAAAACACTGTGTGCTCATTAAATCTTCTCCACAAAGGCAGGTTTATTCATTGACCTGCTCCCAGACTTCAGTGCAAGGACTGCGTCTCATTCACCTCAGTATCCTCACTACCTAACAAAGGCACTTAATATGTTCATTCATAAATATCCAATTGAAATATCATTCCCATTTATATTATATTAATGACAAGTCATATGTATGATTGATTGACGCATACTGTGGCTGTTAACACTGCATTCCCTCTGTTTCACTTACCACCTGGGAGTTCTAAAGATAACATAATGCTGTAAGATAGAGGTATTATTATGCTACAGATTAGAAAGCGGAGGCAGAAAGACTGTGCGATTTGATGTATATAAAGAGCTTTGAAACCTGGCTGGGTGGCTCAGTTGGTTAGAGCATCATCCTGATACACCAAGGTTGAGGGTTTGATTCCCAGTCAGGGCACAAACAAGAATCAACCAATGAATGCATCAATAAGTGGAACAACAAATTGATCTCTCCCTCAAAAAAAAATCAATAAATAAAATAAAATAACCAAACAGTCTCTGGTATGTAATGTTCCAAAAATGCAAAAATAAGTGCCTATTAGCTTGAGTTCCTATTAAATCTCAATGTAAAATCATGTGGTTGTTTTTAAGCTTTATGTCACAGCTCTCCCAAAATATGAATAGTGGTTTTTCATCACTGATGGGGTTTGATTAATACTATCCTATTTATTTTCTTCCTAGGGGTCTTGGGGGGCCTGTGAGAAGACTATGACACTGATAATGAACCCAAGCTAACTCTGCTTTAAAAACACGAAGGAAATCATGGTGTGGGGTGCATTGTGTCATGTTGCATATATTTGTTTGACTGATGTGTGAAGGAATCAGTGTCACTCAGTCCAACTGCTAAGGCTGCAAAAATAAATGATGATGGAAACTCAGCCTTACCTATTACCCAGGATATGATGAGCAACTCCATCCATGAGAAGCAGGATGTTTTCATTCTGAACAGCTGTTTTGCATTATCTGTGCTGGTTTCATTAGGAAGGAGTTTGGTGCCTTCAAATCTGTCAGCTGCATTCATGACTAGCAGACCCAGAAAAATGGTGAAGGAGGCTGCGTGTGCTACGAACTTCATGAATGGTCCACGCATGATCTTCCCCATCTGCCATAACACACACCAAAAGAAAACCTTAGCTTTGTTTTGTACATTTTGCAAAACACCCATGCATATACATAAGAATAACCACCTGTGCACTCCAATGTTCCCCTTAGGCGATGATGTATATTTATAAAACTAATGATAGAATAATTCTTTATGCTGCTATAAAATTTTGGTCACATTCCTCATTTACATACTGGTATGTTGATGGTCTGGGTGGCTAATTAAATAAGTGAACTTTTCTATTAAATAATATGTAAATTCTTAAAACATTACATAGCACTGATAAAATAATATTTTTAACTATAATAATGACAAAAGGCAGAGCATAGTATCATTGTTATTCATAAAAAGCAAATTAATTTAGTGGGCATGAAGTGTTGAGGAAGCAGCATTAAAAATATCACACGGAGTCTACTTTGCAATGTTGTCCTCACGTATATTTCACCGACGTGGGTACAATCGGGCCTCACGTGATGTTGCTATTTTGGTGATGTTGTAAATGGAGTAGAAGTCATGAGTACCAGGAAAAGAACTTCTGAGGCAAGGACGGCAGGGCAGTTCCCATAATGTGCTGGGATACTGTCCTGGAATGACGCTGGGGTAAAAGCCCCATATTTTAGGTTCCAGTTCCAGTTTCATTCCTTCATTAGCTAAGTGGCAATAAGTGAATTTCCTAAATTATGTGAAAATCAAATTCTTCCTATGAGCTATGGAGACAATAAAAGCTCTCATGCCTCTACAGTACAGGATTCATTTCTATCTGAGATGCACAAACTCTAGCTGGGGCAGAGGGTGTACTTGGCCGGGATGTGTCTCAGGGGGCTCTATGCATCCCCTGACATGGGCAGCAAAGCCCAGTAAGTGTGTGCAGTTGTTTTCTTAGGAGAGAGCCCATAACTTTCAACAGCCTTTCAAATGAGTTTATTATTACAGAAAAATTCCCAAGTTAATACCAACAACACGGCCAGTATCTATTATGTGCCAAGTACTGTTTTAAGTGCTTTACTCTGTTAACTCATATAATCATTACAATTCAAAGAGGTAGGTGATACCAAAATACCTATTTTACTGATTAAAAAACAACTGAAGAAGTGTGATCCAGAAATGTACTTAAAGGTCTCACAACTCCTAAATGGTAGAGCTGGAATTTGAACTCAGGCATTCTTGTTTCAAAGTTAATTTGGTTTGCAAAATAATTTCTTATTTTATCATTAAAATATATATATAAGTACATGTAAGTTCTTAGAGAAAACAAAAAAGGTTCTTTTTAAGTCAATAATATGTATGATGCCAGGTGGTACTAGACTTAATAGAGGGATCACTTTGTAAGTTATATAAATGTCTAACCACTATGCTATACACCTGAAACTAATATAATATGTAGTTGGGGGGAAAAAAAGTTGAAAAATTTTATAAAGACTTTAAATAGCTAAATGCTGTATGGAAGAAATGAAATCAATGTACTCTGTTTCTGTAAGTTTTTTTTAATATATAGTTTTCAAAATCTTAAAAGTTAAGGCTAGAATAAATCATATAGTTCAGTTCCTTGTCTCTTGAATTTAGGCCAGACCAGGCATCAGGATATTTGCATGAGAGGGTGTGCATATGTGTGTGTGTATGTCTGTGTCTATATATTTCTATAGTTTTAAATCAATGGACCCATCTAGCTAGATATATTGTAGAGTCAATCCAAAGTCACTTTGTGAAAATCTGCTATGAAAATCATCCCTGAAAACCATACTTCCATAAAAATGCTCATTATTTGATTCAGAGTGTTTTTTTTATTTTTTTTTTAAATAGAACTCTCAAATAATCAAATGAGGGCAGGTTAGAACACATGGGAAACAAAGTGGATTCCATTTTCTGTTGTGTTGTCCTTAGCTATGTTTTTTAAAAATATAGACTGTTGACAAGTGAACATAAATGTGTTTTTAATTTCTTTTTTCATGGTGTACCATGTGCTTCATTTTAATTCTACAATGTTTTACATGTGACTTATTTTAATCACGTATTATAGCAAATAAGAATGTAGCACAAGATTTAATAAGTTCCTCTTGGAAAGAAGCTATTATAAATCTTAAACCAATTTTTTTTTTCCCTTAGCATCTTTTTTTTTTTTTGAAAACTGGGATGGGCAAAACTGACTGTTAGTAGTAAAATCCATGGCATATGTATTTATATTCTGCCTTGTTCCAGAAAGAATCAGAGGTAGCCTTCAACATATAAAGTTATCCCAAACACAAGAGAGCACAAATTAATATAGAAGGAGAAAGCAAAGTAGAAAGAGAAGGAGAAGAGAAAAGGCTAGAGTGTAGAACAGAGTTGAGAATAAAGTAATGTTAGAGTGGGCCACAGTCTGAATGAACTCTGGAACCTGAGTTTTGCTGTCCTGGACACACCCAGTCAATGTTCACTTATTCAGGGCAGGGTGTCTGGTCTGTGCCTCACCCCCCACCTGGCTGGCCTACCTTCTTCATTGAGTTATTGGCCTTTATGTAACATTACACCTTTATTTTATTCAGAAAGGGGAGAATCAAACCCTAACTTTTTGCTGCTTATTAAACATTCTAGTTCAAAGAAAAAAAGAAAACAAATAAAAAAACTAAAAATTGGTTGGCAGGAAACTAAAATGGTGCGTTTGGATATTCATATCCTCCATTTCCTATTACAAATTGTGGCAGTTAGATAGGCAAGAGCAGGGCAGGAAGGATGGGCCAGGTGCAGAAGGTCACCAGGCCGAGCGCTCCAGGGGCCTAGCCACAGGGCAAAACTACAGGCCCTGCAGGACCACTGCCTTAAGCACTGACTCCTGGAGATGACATCTAGGCCTCAGCTGTATTTCAGCTCCAGGGCAGAGAAGCAGCAAAAGCAGGGGGAGTGACACCGTGGCAGACACCAGGACCAGGCACTGACTAATGAATCAGTGGAGACCATGCCCTGAGGAGACGCACCAGGAAAGCTGATGAATGCTCCATTGAGCTCTTCCCCTGGGACCTCAGATAAAAGCCCTCAGGACAGAGGACCCAGGGTGGCTCTCTATGCAGCATGCCTCTGCCTTTCCCCACCCTCTTCTTTCCTCTCTCTCTCTCTCTCTCTCCTTGTTTTCTGAGCCCATTTCTTTTGAAATAAAGCTTTTTGTTATAATTTGTCTTGGAGGCTGCTGGTTAACATCTGGTGCTGTTTTCCCACCGCCAACAAAATCACTGCGAGTTGTGTTTTTCTTTAAACTAAGGCAGATTTTGGTACCATTTCATGGACTTGAGGAGTTTAAGTGATTTTTCCATTTTAGTAAAATTTGTCATTTGTATCTCCTGAGATGTAAACAAATTTTTTTTGGGGGGGGGGGCCTGTAAAGGAGGGACTCATCAATGCATGAGGTAAACAACTGATGTACCTGGAAAATTATTGAGTGGAAGCACTGAAACAAAACCTGCTTTTAAATATTATAGATCATACTCTTTTCAAGTATTTATTGATAACCAAACACCTAACTACCAAATACCAATAGGAATAGAAAAGGTTGACACCAACTTAAACTAAAATAATTTTAAACCACAGCATGACCTATTTTTATGGTAATGAGCATAAAGCCATTGATATTTAGATTATAGTGGAAAAACAGAATAACCAAGGACCAAAAAAAAAAGTTTCTGGAAGGAGAAGAGAGCCAATCTAAAAAAAGAAAAACAACTTCAAACAGAGACGGGACTCTGTCAAGGTGCACAGGCCTACAGTACGCTCTGGCTGAACTTGCCTGGATGTATTGGAAAATAGTGCTTTAAATAAAAGCATCATGTAGCGTAAGCAATCTTCCCCCATAAAAAATCAATTCTGCAACCTGCAAATAATGTTTATGCTCATTGCTAAATGGAAAAATTGTAAAATGATTTTACCATCATGCTTCAAAGGCTAAAGAACAGTCAGTAAAAGAGGTTTTAATATGAGATGAAAATACCTTGACAGTGTCCTTTTAATTTGATTATTTGCCTCAGTGTTCATAAACGAGGATGGAAAACAGATGCCAGACAGAAACATGGCCAGGGAAGAAGAAATAGTGAAGGAAATAAGGTTAATTAGGATTCAATCAAAAGGTAGGTAATGTGTCTCTCTAAGGACTGCCAAAGATATTCGCTGTCAAAACACCAAACTCTCTGGAACACATTACGCTTTTGAACTCACTGGATAGGGGGAAGGACAATTATTCAGCTTAGAAAAGTTATTATAATTCAACTGATCTCAGAATATATAATTCAGAAACTCCTCCCCTTTAAATTCATCTTCAATCTCTGAAGACTCAGGAAATGTGACTAGAAGCAGAACAGAGACTGTATACATTAATATGACCTTTGTTCTGCTAAGGACGATTTAGATGTTTTTTCGAAGTGCAATCTGTATTCCTATGAAAGAGGGAAGACAAAATATTATAACTTTCTAGAAGAAAATCTGCTATAAATTCCTAATGCTAGTAAATCTCATTCTTTTCAACCTTTATATTTTAGAGATAAATTTGGGGCCTTATGTATTGTAAGGACGATAGATTTTACACTCATAAAATCTATTAGCAGTTCCTATCATCATCACCAGAAGTAATTATGAAGTTCACATCGTATTTAAAAAGGAAAAGGCTTCGTATCAGGTTTCTACCAAAAGCTGCTAGGAAAAGTCCCTTTTAGGCGAAAGCACCATACATGCAACTAAGTAATAAAACAATATGTTGGTAGTGGTGGTATTGGTGTGCACCCCCGCATTTACAAATGTTTGAAAGTGAGTCATGCCGCTGTTTCAGATCAGCATGTGATTCAGCTGACATTTCTGCAGAGCACATAAATAGATGGCCCCGCAGACATGTTGCCATGTAGCTGTAGAATTATTTCAGTCTGTCGGAGTTGTAACTTAAACAGTTCCAGAAATGCGGCCTCCAAAGCATGAAAAATATGATAGCTGGCAATGCAGGACAGACAAATGTCTGTGCCTGTTAACAGAATTCAAACATCTGAATATTTTTCAAGCTTGTTCTGTCACCAATGAAAGGCCAGGTCCATCTGAACATATTTTCAGCAAAGCCTGGGCAGATAGATTTGGCTTTAAAAAAAAAAAGTTTATACAGGCTGTCCCTAAAATAAATATTCTTCACTGCATCTACATTATATTAGTGTGTTTTTTAAATATGATAGCCTTTATTTAAATGAAGATTTATCGGGTCATATTAGCTAAAATAAATAGGAAACAAAATTCATGTCAAATTTGCCAGAGGAAAAATAAAGAGAGGAAACATGTTTATCTTTTATAATGTTATGTGAAATACCTGCTCAATGCATGCTATGTAGCCGCATTTAAAACTATAAAAAGATATGCATAGACAGGACCATATACTGCCATAGTAACTGAGGCTTTCTTTGGCACATTGACAGTGAAGCTATTACAGGTGAACGTTCCCTTCTTTGAATTTCTTTTTCTATTTCGTAGCTAATATATGTTATTTTTGCAACATTAAAAAACAGTAAGATTACTTAAGCCCAACGATGACCTTCCTAAAATGCTCATTTGGGAAGGGAATTTTCCATGCATAACCGCCTCTGAGATGTTCAACTAAACATGCTCCTAGGAAACGACGAGGTCCGGGTTTCACAGACATACCTTGCTGCACGGAGCAAACCAATAAATGAGAGCCAGGAAGGGCAGTCCCACGGCAACAGCAAGGACCACCAGGAACTTGACCGCCATCGTCTGCTGCCTCAAGCCGGACAGGTTCTCATACCATATGGAGAGGAGCTGCTGCTGACAATTTGGATGGGCTACAAACTAGCAGGAAAGTGACAAAACATTTAACAGCTTGATTAAAATTCAGCATAAACTATTTTCTTTTGTTCTAATATCTTGTTCTGTTCTTGCCCATAGAAAATATTGTTAGAATTAAGGAACAAACATAAAGCATCTAGTTGACAGCAAGCAAGATGGCAGGATGTTCTAATATGTATTAGACAAATCAGGAGATTCCAATTTATCAAACATTCTCTTCATAACAAATGAGATTTCTTTCAAAGCATAAAAAATTTTTGAAATATCATATTGTGAAAAGATCCATCAATGTTTTACACTAGGATGTTTATAATTATACTAGAGGCCCGGTGCACGAAAATTTGTGCACTAAGGGGGCAGGAGGGGTCCATCAGCCCGGCCTGTGCCCTCTTGCAGTCTGGGACCCCTCGGGAGATAACGCCCTGCTGGCTTAGGCCTGCTCCCGGGTGGCAGGTAGACCCAA